AAGAACAGGTTCTTTTGAATAACCTATGGATTGCCACCATGCACCCACGGCAAGTGTAGCTGTCAGCTCACCTCTCTTCAGAAGTGTGAAAGCTTTTGCCGGACACCGGTGAAGGTGTGTTTTACGATCGGTCCGTAAAGAAGCGTTGATCAGTTCAAAATGACATAAGACCAGGTTCTTGTGAATAACCTATAGAATTGCACCATGATTGGCAACGCTGCATCCACCCTCTGCATAGTGGTCTAGAATGGCCCACATGGCATGATGGGCCGATGGCACATACTGTCGATACTGACATAGTGACATACAGATTGTAGCGGCGAGCGAATGAGCTACTTTATTGTTTAGTACGTGAACGTTCATACTAATATGATAGAAATATAAAATTCTGCTTAGGCACAGCCTGTTAAAGTGTTCTAACAACATATTTCCATTACTCGTTTATTTATAAGTGGCTTGAAGTTGAAGGTGAAGAAGTAGCCGGAAGATGACCTCTCGATACCATACACATGGACGCAGCTCGAACCGGAATTCCAACAGCCACACTCACAACACAGCTTCCGCTGAAAACTACTCTTCCGCACCATGCATACGCAAGTCCGGAAATTGTGGCGGACCCAATGAGTCTAATGTCGTTCCAATATTCGTTCTTCCATGCAAGTTTCAAAGCCATCTGTCCAACAGAATATTTCGTGTGAAAATTATTTAGAATTATTAGTATTTTATTTTGTATCCATACTTTACCCAATGGTTGCAGTTCAGAGTACCAGGATTGAAGCAACGAGGTGCGGGTACAATCCCAGCTCTGTGAGCTAGTTTATTGTCAGAATCGGCAAGGAGGCCGGGCGGTTAAGCAAAGCAAAATTGAAGCAGTGAGTTGCGCGTTCGAGACCGCAACAAGCTGTGAATGTTCTGTGTTACAAAGAATAGGCGACAAGCTTACTGCCTAATAAACGCTGAAACCGCTTTATATATTATTATAAAAGCACATTTTATTATATTTGATTAGAATTTACTCTACCAAGCATTCAATTACAAAAGCTTCGTAAATGGCGTTCATTTTTCAATAAAATTTCCTTAGCCGCCACGCAGTTCTGAGCCGCACTCATAAGCAAGGTTCATCTAATTTGTTTGACTTGTAGTACGTTCAAGTGATTTATTATGAATGAGAAAATATTCTATTTAACGAAACTTAAATGGGCAATGATATAATTTCCTTGATGGACAATGAATAACTTGATTTAGAATCTAATGTTCTGACTCAGTTAATGCCAATGAGCTGATGAATTCATTGTTGATGGTCGAAGTTGTGGCTAGGTTGACTTTTCGCTGTTGTGACCTAAGCAAACAGTTAGAGAAATGCCAAATACACTGTTT